TCAATATTATATGTGTATACTTATAACACTATATAGGTATCATGCAATAATTATTGCATTATTAGATTATTATCAATATTATATGTTATATAATAGATCTTTTTCATTTTCCATATCGAAATGAATGGAACACATATATTAGTGGAAAAATTTAGCAGAAGTAATAATATAACTTTCAATTGGCTTTTCTGATCTAGGATTTCTTCAACTCATCTAGAAACAATAATACTTTGTTTTCTAAACTGCATGAGCCGAAAATTGTTTTCTTCCTGCACTTACTAGGAATCGACACCAATGGGCATGCCCATCGGCCTCATTCAAGGTACAGTGTGTCTTTTTATTATTGAAAATGCTATAAAACTTTAGTGTGAACCAGCCAGAGTTAAACAGCTTTAAGTACCTGTGATTATTGAGTTCAGCATATAACTAACCGTTGCAGTAAAATAAATGAGGCTTAAAAACATATAGCTCAGATTAACTCATACTGTTTATGTGATTTAAAAAAAACCCAAACTTTTGTTTCAGCCATGTCCCTTATGATAAATAACACATTTAAACTGTGTTGATATCTGAAATTTTGTCCATTCTTTTTGGAAAAGTTGGCTGAGCAATAGCAAAACCATCGAATTATAGAATATTGCAGTTACAGTGGACCATAAAGGTAATCTACTGTAGCTCAGTCTTCTGCCATCCAGGAAAATGTAACTGAAGCTAAATGATACCCATATTACCTCTGTTTAAAGACCTTCAAAGAAGGCAAGTCCACAACCCACTGAGGCAGTCCATTCAACTGATAAATAATATTCAGGTGGAATCCTTTTTCTTGTATTTGAATTCATTGGGCATAATTCAACCTCACTCCATGTTTTCGGCATTCAGTTTCAAGATTTTGTCATGGCTTTTCTAAACGAACACAACTGCAATCTTCTTACATGTTTATGAATAAAAAACCAGGGTCCAAATGTATGTGAGATTTCAAGTATTTTGTGATAAGAGTCTGAAAGACACTGAAGCAGAGATTGCTGCTGTGTAGGAGAAGTGAAATGAAGTTAAATGCCAGTGCAGAAGGAGGGATGACCAGTTGGATCTGCTGCCATTTATTTTATCACTGGGTTTTCCATGCCAACATCTCCTGGAGCTTAGTCCTTCAGAGGATTGGCAATAAGAGATCTCCTGTCTGACTCAGAGCAACTCTAAGAGGATGGCAATCAAATCCCAGCCTATGCAAATTTCTAAATTCATTCTAATTATCCTGTCAAAACAACCCATTTCTCCTTCACAGGGAATACAAGAATAATATCAGGGCAGTTGATGAAGGTGTGAAGGAAATCGTTTCAGTGATTGAGGATTTTTATGGAAGTGATGACAACACAGCTTTTATCCTGACTTCTGACCATGGAATGACAGATTGGGGTAAGGCCTTTTTTGTAACATCACAGAATCATTTGGGTTAGGAAAAACAAAACATAAACATGATGGTTGGATCTTAATCCATTGCGTACTCCTGTTTCTCTGAAAAATGGAAAATTGTTGAGGATTCACTTTCTTTTGTAGACAAAAACATCTGGAGTATGATTATAATCATTGCTTTCTCTACTGTAAGAGAAGGCATTATTTATCTCTATCATCTATCAGTGGTTCTCAACCTTTGGTCTTCCAGGTGTTTTGGACTTCAGCTCCCACAATTCTTAACAGCTGGGATTTCTGGGAATTGAAGTCCAAAATAAATGGAGGACCAAAGGTTGAGAACCACCGATTTATATGATTTATATGAATGCAAGTATGTGTAGGCAGGATTGAACCTAACCACTTGGCAGAATAAAGGAACTGCCTCAGGCAGCAGATGCTGAAGTGGCATCCCATTTGTCTGCTGGGGATTTTAAAATAGCCTGCTATCTTTAGGTGCAATTAACAACAGCAATAATTATTTTGGGAACAGTTGGTATTTTTTTTTTGTATGACAATGCTTTGTTTAATCCATCTGTAGACTCGGATGGAATGTTAGATATGTGCGATTTTACCACTAGACTCATCTTTAGCTTCTTGGATAGATAAAATACTTTGTAATATTCATATATATGTGTGTGGTGTGTGTGTGTGTGTGTGTGTGTGTACAGCCCTTCGTGGCCAGGACTAGGGGCAAAGTGTTAAGAAAATCTCCTGTTTATTGTCAGTCAAGAACACAGTTAACTTTGATTTGGTGTTTTCCATATTTCCAGGGACACATGGAGCTGGCCATCCATCAGAGACTTTAACACCACTAGTTGCTTGGGGGGCAGGAATCAAATCACCACAGAGAGTTGCCTCACAACAATTTGAGGATGACTTTTTAAAAGGTAAATAATACTATGTGCAAATGATGGATTTTCTGTACACCTATAAAACAGAAAATGATTTTCAATTTTCATTGTATTAGTTGTGATAGATATATAGATTTATTTCTCAAAAAAGTGTCAAGACTATTGAAGGTTGTGTGAATCACTTTATGCAAGTTGCCCCTGGGATCTGAATAAATGTATTTTCCTTCCACCAAGTGGAACATCTCTGAGTCATTACATCCAGTGTTTATCACTAATGCCAACAGTAGAAGCAATGTAAAAGTGCAAATTGGATTTTCACAAAATGTCCATACAGTTTCAAAACCTGAGGGTGGAGGCATAAGATTACTTCCTAGGAACTCAGTAAGCAAAGAATTTGTGTGGTGCCTTAAAGACTAACAGAAATAACTAAATTGGTAGCATAAGCTTATGTAAACTACTGTGTGTCTATGTGTAGACTTAGTTCACAAAAGCAAATGCTACAAGTTCCATAATCTCAGTAAGTCTCTACAAGATCCCATTGCATGCTGATATTCCAGACTTACACTTTGAATTCTACTAGAAACTAGGACTTATTTCTAACTAAATATGTCTAGAACCAGGCTGTAAGTCAGGGGCAGGAAACTTCTGTGCCAAAACTTGTTACCAACATACTTCACCCAACCTATAGAGATCTCAGGTAAGGTCTCCCTCTTGCCACATCCTCCTCCATTGAAGGAAAGCGCATATGGGCTCATGAGGATATCTAAATTGCATTTTCACGTGGTGGTTATGTTAAAAGGTCCAGAAATATTGGCACAAATATATATGATTTTAGAAAA